AAAAAAAAAAAAAAAAAAAAAAAAGCATGAAAAAAGTATGGTAATAACCGATAGAGATTGTCCCACTAAAAAAATATGTACATTCAATGGGGGGGCTGAACTTTTTTTAGATTATACAGCTCACTTCTCAGATAGCAATCCCTGGGAAAGACTCTCCTGGGGGTCAGTGAGCTGAAGCACCCATAGAAAGCGTCCTCCTTCACTTTCACCTTCTGGTTTCCACAGACCAGGAGCAGGAGCAGTTCCCTCCTGCTGTCACCAAGGGCAAAAAGACAAGGCTGCCAGAATAAAGCAAAATGCTTCTCTGTCCTCTACTTTCCCTCTCTCAATTGGTGTTCAGACGCAGATGCTGTGGTAAACTCTGGTTCTCACTCGTGAGCTCTCTTCTAATCTGGGATCAGCTGCCTCTCGGGCAAACAGTTTTGCTTCCCAGAGCTCTGTCTTCAGGCACTTTTCCAACTCCTCACATTCACCCAGTAGCTTCATGGGCTTTCAAAATCAGAGACATTGAGCTGGAAGGGATTTTAGAGGTGATCCAGTTCCATCCCCTCATTTAGCACATAGAGACACCAATGCCCAGTCACTGAGCTGATACATCTCCCATCTCTGCTCCATCCAGGCTAGCACCATCCAACTGAAATCGCGCAGTCCAACAGGGCAGGAATGCAGCTATAGAGCACCTGAAATGTGGCTAGTGCTATCAAGGAACTGGTTTTTTGCTTTTTTAAAAAAATTTTGTTTTGTTTTGTTTTGAGATGGAGTTTTGCACTGTTGCCCAGGATAGAATGCAATGGTGCAATCTCGGCTCACTGCAACTTCCGCCTCCTGGGTTCAAATGATTCTCCTGCCTCATCCTCCAGAGTAGCTGGGATTACAGGTGCCTGCCACCATGCCCAGCTAATTTTTGTATTTTTAGTGGAGATGAGGTTTCACCATGTTGGCCAGGCTGGTCTCAAACTCCTGACCTCATGATCCACCTGCCTCGGCCTCCCAAAGTGCTGGGATTACAGGCATGAGCCACCACACCTGGTCCTCAAGGAACTGATTTTTAACTTTTATTTACATTTGAACTAATTTTAAATAGCCACACGTGGCTAGTGTCTATCATACTGGATAGCCCAGATGTAGAGTACAGAAATCCAGAGTCCAGAAGTCAGGAAGACCAAACGGTCATCCTGAGTTCACTTCTGCACATCACCCAATTTCACTGGGTGTTAGGATGCTTCTAAGCACTGAGCTCTTCATCTTATTCAAGTTTGTAAATATTTCCTTTTTCTGTTGTTTGATCCTGAGAGACCTACTTGAATTACATATGTATTAGGCCAAAGTTTTTCAAACATCAGTAGGCCATTAAATCAATGTATTGGCTTTAACCAGTATTTTATAAAAGATGAAATACATTAGGCAAAATATCAGCATGTATCACACTTAAAACGCTGTTTGGTGGAACCTGTGTTTTGGTTTGAGTATGTGGGAGTGTGGGGAGAGGTATAGCGTGGATGTCATAATGTAAAATATATTTCTATGGTAGGTCAAAATTAAAAACGTGTGAAAACTCTAAGATACACTACTAAATCTAGAGGCCCAAGTTAGACCAAACCAGGAGATAATGAACAAGCTTTTCCAGTGCTGTAAGATTCTTTGAATATATTACTCAAAACAAACAAACAGAAAAACTGGTATAAAATGAGGTTGAACTGGCTAATGCAGAAGCACCGTGGGGGTGCTGTGCAGACTTATGCAGCTCATACAGTGAAAAACCTCAAAAATGTTCTTTCTGTAACATCTGATACTGTTTGTTCTTCTGATCCTACTGTCAAGGGTGGTATGCATTTCTCTGTTCTATCTGAAAAGAATGTAAAACAATTTACTTTTGCTTGGGCATAGTATTTCCTTTTATTTAAGTTCAAAAATTCTTTACCAAATCTATTAAAATTTGAAAGACTCTTCAGAACAGGATATGGCATGGTATGTACACTTGATAGATATTTATTATCCCTAGTGTTTATTGTTACAGAGCCAGTTATCAGGGATGCGCCCCTTCAGATCTTGGTACCCGCTACAAGGCTGAGCTGAGGAAAGTCTGGGGCCAGTGAACTTGCTCTCTGATGGTGGGGGTATAAATCTATCCTTTTTTTTTTTTTTTTTTTTTTGAGACTGAGTCTTGCTCTGTTGCCCAGGCTGGAGTGCAGTGGCCTGATCTTGGCTCACTGCAGCCTCCACCTCCTGGGTTCAAACAATTCTCCTGTCAGCCTTCTGAGTAGCTGGGATTATAGACGTGTATCACCACACCCGGCTAATTTTGTATTTTTAGTAGAGATGGCGTTTCACCATGTTGGCCAGGCTGGTCTCATGAGCCACTGTGCCTGGCCCAATCTATCCTATTTTTAAGGCCTATATCCAGTTTTAGATTCCAGCTGGAAAGGGTAGGGCTAAACCCCTGGAGTGGGGAACTTTTGGGGGAAATTAGGTTAAGAACATCACTCATGCTCAATGTCAAATATCCCTCATCTGTCCCTGAGAGGCCGGGACACACTAGAGTATTAGCAAAACACTCATATATTAACTCATTTAATCCTCACAGCCATTCTAGGTAATGGGTCTCATTAGCCTCATTTTACAGATAAGGACAGGGAGGCACAGAGCGGCCAAGAGACTTGTGCTCGTGAAGCGAGTAAGTGGTAGAACTGGCTGGCAACCCAGGTGGTTGGCTTTAGTGTCTGCTCGTCATCACCACCTACCTCCCTAGGTTTATGCTTTTTTGTCTCTAGCCTATTCAGATGTCCTCCTGGGTGGTAAAAGAAATGGTCAAGAGTTAAAACCTTTTATTAAAAAAATTAAAAGCTGTTATTATTTTACTTTAGTCACTAGTTAGGATTTGGATCCTTGTTAGATGTGCTAAGTCTTCATCTTGCCTGTAGGAGAGAGAGAGACGGGCATAGTTAAAACAACCCACCACAGTCAATAATTAAAAGAAATTGTTTACAACTCACTCAACTTTGCCATCTGGTGGCTAATATTACCATTATTTTTTTTTAATTAAAAAATATGGAATGCTTCATGTTGGAACATCACATTGTGCGTCATCCTTGCACAGAAACTATGCTCGTCTTCTCTGTATTGTTCCAGTTTTAGTACATGTGCTGCCAAGGCAAGCACGGGGGCTGACATTAAATCCCAGTCTCTGATAGGCTTATTTATTTATTTATGCACCTACTCAAGAAATGTGTTCTTTGCAGCTTGGGAAGCATCATATGTATTCACACCAGTCCTTGGAGGTAAGTCCAGCACACCTCCCTCTGTAAAGGGAAAGGTTCAGAGCACGGTTTGCTATTAAGAAAATGAGCATGAATGGGGGGGAAAAAAACTAGAAAACTGAGCAACAGACAAAATCCTAATTGTATTTACCATATACATGGCCACACCCTACTGTGCTACTACAAGATGGTGGCCCATGGCCATTCTTCTCGCTGCCAGCACAGACAAGAGCCCCGGGCCGAGGCTCTGTCCCTATCTGCCTCCTTGGCAGTTACGCCTTGGTTCTCCATTTGAAAACTACAAACTTCAGAGCCCAAAGGAATGTTAGAAGCCAGTTGCCTCAATCCCTTCAATTTACAGCAGAGGTCAACTGGAGATCATAAGCGTGTAAGGCAGGGGAAAAAGAAGCTGGAATGTCAGTGAGAATCTGTGGGCACTTCTGTCCCATTTCAGAATGGAAGCCTCTTCCACGTTGACTTTTGACTTTTCTCCACTTTGCAAACTTCCCATAGTGTGATTCTATTAATTAGTAGTCTAAAACATAGTCAGTTACTGTTCACTTCTCCTCCAGATACCACATGGTTCCCAGTATCCCTAAAGACTACATTAGCTTCAAGTCATCTTGAGTTCCCCTAAACATTCCTTTTCTTCCCATTAACCCTCATTTATTTCAGTTTATGGAAAGAGGACCATGCCCATTAGCTCAGGTGAACTGGAAAACACAATCTCTCTATTTATATCAAGAGCACAGGTGTATTGGGCCAGCGCTGTTCTAAGAGTTTTAGAGCTCTTAGACATAAAACTCAACTAACCCTCAAAACAAACCTGCAAGGCAGGTACCATCATGATTCCCATGATAAAGATGAGAAAACCAAGGAATGGAAAAGTTATGGACATGTCCCACAACCAGTAAGCATTGTTAGGGACCAAGAAGTTCCACAGTGACTAGTTTCCTGATGACCTGTTTCTGTCTCTTTGGTGCCCAATCATTTCATTTTTGATGAAAAGCCACAAGTCAACTGCTTGGGTCACACACGGTTCTGAAAGTCCTATACTGTTCTGGGTTCCCAGGCATGGAACTCCAGACTGCTCAGGAAGAGATTATAATTCTTCCGCCTGCCAGCACTACTGGACATCCCTTCTCAGTGCTTCTAGTGCCAGCCTTCTCATCCCAATTCGCTATTCTCCATTGTTATCCCTAATCCATTGTGTGTTGGGAAATCAAACCGCTCACCAATGACATTCTGAATTAAAAAAAAAAAATACACGTGTAATAAATACCTATTAGCTTCATCTCTTTCTGACTTGTAGCTCCAGCTTTAAAAACTAAATTGGAAATCATGGCAGAGAGACCCTGGGGGAATTTGGGAGGGGCACTTTACCATCAGGAAAGGGCATGGACTTTAGCACAAAGCCTCAGCAGCAGCTAAGCTAACTCATCAGAGGCTTTCCTCAGTCTTCCAGGGGTTTAAGCTCTGGGCAGCTGCCTGGAGAGGGCCTGCTGGATAACTGAGGTGTTTACCTGCAGAGTCTCATTGCATTCACGTGACCCTAGGAAGAAAGGAATGGGCGCTGCATTTCCAAAGAAGATGCCCAGATGAAATCCATATCCATGAGGTTTCCTTGAAGGAAGACATTTTTAAAATTTGACCCCAGAGACTCTCTAGACTCAGAAAGCATTTCTTGGTGACTAGGGACTTAGTTTCCTTTCATAAGCTGCTCAGCCTAAGAGAAAACCTCAGCAGGTGCACACATGCTTTCCTTCACTTGAGGAGCTCAGCCTCCATGCTGGCTGGAGGAAGAGGACATTTGTCTTGACCCAGTCATATGCCTACCTGGTTCCTCTCTGGGCCCAGAGAAGCATTTCTGAGATAGTCACACTAGGCTAGGCATGTGACATTACTAAGGCATGTTGACTTGGGGAAAGGTTAGGAGAAATAGAGCCCTGCACTGTGGGGTAGAAGACCCACAGTCCTAATCTTTTCTTTATAAGCCACTCCATGGCCTTGAGCAAATCGCTTAATCTCTGTCTCAGTTTCCTCAGTCGTAAAATAGGATATACCACCTGCCCTACCTTTATCTGTGAGCTGCTGGATTAGATGAAGTTGGCTGCTGGAAGAATTGTGAAACACAACCTATCCTCAACAAGCCATAACAAAGCCTCACTTAGCCCTTCCATGCAGGTGCAGCCCAAGTCATTGAAAAGTTGCCCCCACACTGCTAAGCTATGACGCTGGGTCACCATTCATGTCAGAAGCAGGAGCTGAAGGGGCTTGGGTCTCAAACTAGAAAGCCATGATCAGGAAACAAGAAGTCCCTTCTGGGGCTGGAGGTAATGAGGTACCCCCTATCACCACTGGCCTCTCTTCTGGAGATAAAAGATCCTATTGAGGCTCCCGGTGTGAACCACGAGCAGAGCAAAGCTGGACATCCATTCTCCCTCCCTGGGCTACAGACCCCTGCAAAGAATAATCCTTTAACCCCATAATTGCCTTCCCTCCCTGAGAGAGCTGACCGACATCCTGCAGGTAATAAGCTAAAGGTGTTGTCAACCTCAGGAGACTTCAGCACTCACCTAAAAGTTAGTTCCCAAACTTAAGAAGTGTCTGGACTCCAAATATCAAGCTGCCAGTCACAGAACAAAGGCTGTGATCTAGACCAGCCTGGGCAGCATAGTGAGACCCCATCTCTTAAAGAATTTAAAAAGTTAACCAGGTGTGGTGGTGTGCACCTGTAATCTTAGCTACTCTGGAGACTGAGGCAGGAGGATCACTGGAGCCTAGGAGTTCAAAGACACAATGAGCTAGGATCCCAACACTGCATCCAGTTGGGGCAACAAAGCAAGACCCAGACTCTTAAAAAAAAAAAAAAGCTGTGATCCCCTTAAAGACCTAATAGGCCACCACTACCTGCCCTTTTGGCAAGAACTTTTGGTCTCCCTCATGAGTGTTTTTTTTTTTTTTTTTTAATACAGATTTTCTAGATTTTTGTTGTTTTAAATGAACAATCTCTCACTTAAGTGCAGACAGCCATCACATTTTCCAGAGGGAGAAATGGAAACAGTGGAAAGGCAAGTCACTTCGCCCAGGGTTTGCTGTTTTTCACAACCTCACAATGAGGAGCTTTGCCTCAATAACTCAAGTCAAAATATATTAATGACTCCAAGGCTCAGAATCCAAAATCATCAGAAACCTGGAGAGGGAGCCAGCTGGACTCCTCACTCAACTGAACCTGGTTAGATCAGTAAATGCCTCCAGGCTGCGGCTTTCCCATTTGTGAACTTTGGGCTAATGAAGAGACCAGGAGAGACAGGGGCTTTGGATAAGTCCCAGAAAGGATACTACGTCATCTCAAAGGATGAACTGCAACTTCCAAGAATCACAAAAAGCACGCAAAGCTAAGTGAAGATGCTTCTCTCCCTCCCCTCTAGAACTCATACCTTCGCACAAAGAAAGGCCTTTAAAACACAACACTCTACAGTGGTGTTTACTAGGGTGGACAGCAACCTGTCCCGAGCCCTCAGGAGAGGCATATTTCTGGGCAATCCGCCTCACTCAACTAATCCCAGCCCTACTATTTGTGGGTCCCCTGATAACTGCAGAAAATTGCCAACTTCCTTCGCGGCCATGGACTGTAACAGAGAAGGTTAATAGGTTGCAAGTTGGATGTCCTACAGGCAAAACGTAACCAGTTCTCCCAGAAGCTTGTAGGCACCACGTGGGAGAAAATAGGGCGAAGCCACTGGGGCGTGGTCGGAACATTTTTACCGGGGAGAGCAGCGCGAGAGTATAAGGAGTAAAGAACAGGTGGGGCGGCTGGCTCTTTCCTAACACACGCCCACCTAACGGTAGAAACTGGTGCTTGCTCAAAGATGCAGCCCTGCTCTTTCGATTGTGCGGTGAGCCCCAGCTGTTTGCAAAGGTGTGGTCAGTACGCAAACACTCCATAAGTCATTTTGAGATTTTAAAAACGTTAAACGCCACCAGCAACCAACTAAGAATTAACACTTGGGAGTATATGAACATATGTGTGTATAAACTGGAGGGCATCCGAGATCTGGCGTCTCCCACTGAGCCCTGGGCGAGGTGGAGAGCGTTACCTGGCCAGGTCGAGGAAAGAGTCCACCGTCTCTTTGGGGACGGGAGGAGGCCCTGAGTCCTCCAGCCCCAGGTCGCTGGACTGAAGGGTCTGCGCACCGGACCCCGGCTTGATGATGAATGCCAAGGCCACGGCGAGCGCAGAGGCACTCAGTGTGGTGAGGCCAAAGTAGGCGACGGCGATGCCGCCCAGACGCCCGAGGGCGCTGGCGTCGAGGGAGGCGGCGCCCGACACCAGGCTGCAGACCACCAGCGGCAGGATGATCATGCGCAGCATGCGGAGCAGCATCTCGCCCGGGAATGCCAGGTAGGTGACCTGCGTGCGGGTCAGGCTGAGCTCGCGCAGCGCCGCGCCCAGGCCCGCGCCCGCCAGCACCCCGGACACGGTGAGCAGCACCAGCGCTTGGCGCCGGAGGAAGCCCGCACAACGCCCGGCGCGTCCCGCCGCGGTCCCCGGAGCTCCAGGCCCGGCCGCAGGCCCCGCCTGGGCGCTGTCGAGGTAACCGTTGGTCTCGTTGCTCTTCTCCATGGCGCTGCACGCCGCTCCCAGCTAGAGGTGGCAGGGTACGTGGGCTCTGGCAAAACACGGGTCCCAATGAATGGGTCGGTCGGCGATGGGGAGATCGGCCACTGAGCTCCGCAGGTTCTGGGAAGCGGCCCCGGGGGTCTCCCGGCCTGGATCAGGACCAGGTGCGAGAAGGGCGACGAGAGGCGCGGAGCAAGTGCTGGAGCCACCGGCGGAGAGGGTTGCGCCGCGCCCAGCCTCCCCGGAGCAGCCGCAGGCTGGAGATGATGCAAGCTGAAGCCGTGAGCGCGGACGCAGACCGGGAAGGAGGCGGGAGGGGGAGCGGCCCGAGCCCGCCCCCTTCACGCCCGCCGTCCCGCCCCCCGCGACGCTGGCCAATCACAGCCAGGGAGCCGCCGCCTGGCCCCACTCGGCTCTCCGGTGCCGGGAGGGGGCGGGTGGTCTGGAGGCTCCTCCGGAGGCCGCGGGGACGCCGGGGCACGAGGGGCCGGCCAATCCCAGCGCCAACAGCCACCTCCCCGCCCAGCTAACAGAGGCCGGCTCGGGGCGACCACAGGGAGGCGCGGGCTGAAGGACCGCCCGGGCTCGTAGGCACCTGCTGGGCCCTCTCCAGAGGCCGGGATCTGAGTCCTCTGAGCCTGAGTGCCCGGGATAACGTGGAACGCGCCGGCGTTCCTCCTCCTGGAGATTGGGGGAGGGTCTCTTTCTCCCGGGAGATGCTTTTGCCCCCGCGCCGCCCACACTCTTTTACAGAGCTCGCCTGCCTCTCCCACCAAGGAGGGGTCCCTGGGCAGTCCTGCCGCCGCGTCTCCTGCAGAAAATCCTTTCCTTCAGGGGTGCTGAGGGGCTTGAGTAGTACAGCACACCATGGTACCCAGCACGGTCCTGCCCTGAGACAAAGGACAAACAGGCCGATGGATGAAATGGATGAATGAGAGGAGCCTTAGCACGTGCTTATTAGGGCGCCAACACAGCCATACCGCGACAAAGGGGGCTCGTGGTGCCACCAAACCCGGTGCGCCTAGGCCGCGCCACTGAGCGCACCGGGGTGCTCCTGGGTGTGTGTCCTGGGGCTACCAGGATGGGGCTGGGTCACCCGCCCAGCAGCTGTCTGCGGTATGGGGGTGGAAGACTCAAAGCTCTTCTAGAAGCAGCAGCTGTCACGCCACCACTTCCAGTTGGTTTCTGCCACGTAACCTAAGCTGAAACACAAGCCACTGGATTTTAACCTCTTCCATCCCCAGGCCCGAGCCCTGGCGTGAAAACAGCGCAGACGGCGGTTTGGCCAGTCTGAAGGCTTCCTCATTGTTCACGTTCTATGGATTTCCTCTTTATTTCATCTTTTATTTGATATCTGATTTGGCCATGGGAGTTATAAGGGAAACTTCTGCTGAGTCCTTTTACTATGTCACAGTTATTATATTATTCTGCTTTTGAAAAGAATTGTTCTTTAAAGGCGTCTTTTTCCCTCCTCCCTCCCTCCCTCCCTCCCTCCTTCCTTCCCTCCTTCCCTCCTTCCCTCCTTCCCTCCTTCCTTCTCTCTTTCCCTCTTTCCCTTTCTTTTCTTTCTTTCTTCTCTTTCTGGGACAAGGTCTTGCTATGCTGTCCAGGCTGGTCTTCCAATTCCTGGGCTTATGGGATCCTCCTCAGTAGCTGGCACCAGCCACTGCGCCAGGCAAGGGGAGACTTAAGTGTGGGTAACCTCAGTTAAGGAGGAAGGCAATTTACTATAGATTTCTTGCTAAAAAGGATGTCATCTTAAAACATGTCATCCTGACAGATGTTTGTGCAAATCAAAATGTCTTCATAAGGAACTTTAAGGAGCTGTCCAAATTTTGAGACAGTGAGTGTATGTCATTGCTTGGAGCTAGCCAGCTATTGGCTAGAACTTGTAGGGGTGTGTGTGGAGGGGGAGGGGTGACGTAGTGTCAGATGAAGAGCTGCACATATTTGTATCTGGCTTTCCAGAATGCAGTTCATTTCTCTATGTGCACTGAAGAAAGAGTAATTTCTACAGACACACACCATGTTTTGTCAGTCAGCCCTTCCCTTTGTTTTGGCTACCATGTTTATGCAAAAGACTCTTAAATCATGCTCCAGAAATGTGCCTCCAACTTCCTGTTTTACATCTCCACCTGAATATCCTGCAGGCATCCCAACTTGAAATGTTCGAAACCAAATTCATGGTTGCCTTCCTCATGCCTGATCATCCTTCTACTCCCCTATTTCTGTTAAAACATAATTGATGTCCCAGTCACCTCTGTGTGAAACTTCAAAGTGAGCTTTGATTCTTTCCTCTGTAGTGCCTTCTCTCATCTAATCAATTGCTAAGTCCCACAGAGTTTCCTTTCACAATATTTATCACATCTGCTCATCTCATCTCTTCCCACTGCTACCACACTGGCTCAGTTCTTATTTCCTCACTTCTTATCGGTGCTATTGAATTGTTCTCCTAATTAGTCTTCCCATCTCCATTGCTCCTCTTGTTCCAGCCATCCTGTATTTTGCTTTGCCTTGGGCTAATCTTTCTAATGAGTAATATACATGTTAGGATAAGATTCAGCTTTCATCCAGCAGAAAAGAAGGAGCAACGAGGGCCTGCCTTCTTCCTTTGTAAACACTTCCTAAAAATCACACACATTATTTCTCTTATATTTCACCGATAAGAATTTAGTCAAATGACCATACCTTCCCGCAAGAAAAGTTAGGGAATGTAATTTTTGTTTCACACAGGCATGAACCCAGTTAAAAAATTGGAGCTTCTGTTACTAAAGGAGCACAGAAAAATGATATTGGAGGACAACTTCATATCACTTCTTGATCAAAAGCTTTCAGTGGCTCCCACTGAGTTAAGAATGTGTTCCTCATCCTGGCATTCAAGACCTACCATGATCTGGCATCAGCCTGCTCTCCAGCCTTGTGCCTTCAAGACCTCCTGCAAAAATGGGACTGTGTGCTGCTTCCACATTGTTTTGCCCTCCATCCAGTCCCAGTTTAGATACCACATTCCTCCCATAGCCTTTCTGAATTCCCGTTGCACCAACTGTGCTTGCTGCCTGTGGCTTTTTGTGCTGTACCTGTGCACTCCAAAGCTGCAATAATAGTCAACCCTCAATTGGAAGTGGGGAACTCCCTGAACTATTTAGCCATAGTGTGGTGCTAAGTGTGAGAGCACTGTTAGGGGGTGCCTTATACTATGCCACATGTGTCTGTCATTGAATTAGCAATAACTCTCCTTAGGAAGGAGCTGGACTCTTGAGGCCTTTTTATCTCTAGAGGGTTGCCCTGTAGCCACTCTGCCAAGTTGTAAGGCAAACTAAGAAACAGGTGTCCTGGCCTCAACAACATTTGGGGGTGTTACCATATCTATGAAAGGGTTTCACTTTCTGCCACTTTTTTCTCTCTTAGTTCTTCTCCTTTTGCATTTTTTTGTCTTTTCATAATTTTACATGCCTCCTGTTTTTAGGTATTTTGTGCAAAAAAAAGTTGATTCCTGTGTTAGACACCTTCCCCCACAGTACTTACATGTGTTCTCCCTGGTTTCTAGGTGCATAAGTACTGAATTATAGCAATGCCTTACAAGTGATCCAGCCTGACGGCATTACCACCACCGTCATCTGATCCCATGATAGGCTAGAGTATTGTTCAGCAAAAATTTTTTCCCTTGTTTCTCCCACTTAGATAGGAGTTTACTTACCCCATTGCCTTTGAGGTTGGCCATGTGGCTCCTTGGCTAGTGGACAAAGTGGATGTGATGCAAGCAAAGGCATCGAAATGTTTTCACACAATTGCACAGGGACTCCTGCATACATGTGACCCAGCATGCCTTGGATAGATGCTGCCGTTTCAGCCTGGCACCAGAACAAAGAAAGGAGTGTGTCTGAATTTAGCCTGCATCCCTGACTAAACTCGGCTGCCTCATAGCCTAAAGGAGAACACCCCAGTCAACCCATAGACCCATGCATGAGAAAAATAAATGCTCATTGAAACCCACTGAGTTCTGGAGTCATGTGTTATTCTCGAGTACTGTATTATTGTAGCAATAGCTGAGTAATATAAATGCTGTCTTCAACATCTGTTTCAATGATCTATTACTGCGTAACAAACCAGCCTAAACCATGCTGGCATAAAACAACAGCCACCTCAAAAAGAAATGGCATAAAATGACCACCAATTTTTTATGCTCATGATTTTATAGGCCAGAAATTCAGACAGGGGATAACAGAAGGTCTCCTTTCTGTTTCACAATGACCCCAAGCTGGAGTGGCTTAATGGCTAGAAATGGCTAGGACACCTCATTTGGGCTCCTCTGCCTGTGGCCTAGGTTTTGGCTATCTTTTAGGATCCTCAGTTCTTTCCTGCATTGCATCTATTGAATCTGGAATGTCCAAGATGCCTCTTTCATTCATACAACTGGCACCTTGTCTAGTGGGTTTGGATCCACTCAGGCTAGCTGGGCATCTCTCACTCTCTCACTGTGACTAGTGTGAGTTTCCTCACAGTATGGCAATCTTGGTGAAGTCAAATCTCTTGTGTAGTGACTGACTTCCCCCAGACTGAATGTCTAAGAAATGTAGGTAGGAGCTGCAAGACTTCTTCTGACCTAGCCTCAGAAGTCCCAGAACATTACTTCCTTCTCATTCTGTCACTCAAGCAAATCATTAAGGCCAGCCCAAATTCAAAGGAGCAGAATTAGACCCCACCACTCAATGGTGGGAATAATCAAGAATTTGCAGCCATCTTCAATCCACAGTAACATTCCTGCTTAGTACTCGTGTTTTGCGGGCCAGAGCAGTACATATAGGTCACTACTTGCCCTAGCTCTGGTGACTCTGTAGACAACTCTATTAGCAATTTGCTTTGGACAGTCTCTCAGTAAATGGTGCTGGGAAAACTAGATGCCCATATGCAGAAGAATGCAATTAAACCCTCATCTCGGCCGGGCATGGTGGCTCACGCCTGTAATCCCAGCACTTGGGAGGCCGAGGTGAGTGGCTCATCTGAGGTCAGGAGTTCCAGACCAGCCTGACCAACGTGGAGAAACCCCATCTCTACTAAAAGTACAAAATTAGCCAGGCATGGTGGCGCATGCCTGTAATCCCAGCTACTGGGCAGGCTGAGACAGGAGAAATCATCTCAACCTGGGAGGTGAAGGTTGCAGTGAGCTGAGATTGTGCCATTGCACTCCAGCCTGGGCAACAAGAGTGAAACTCCATCTCAAAAAAATAAATAAAATAAAAAACCCTCATCTCACACCATATACAAAAATCAACTCAAAGTGGATTAAAAACTTAAATATAAGACCTG